CTTTCATATAAGTCTTGAAAGCTCACCGATACTCAGAATAATGTAAAACCAGTAATGGCGACGCAAGTAGTGCTATAAATATTTTAAAAAATTATGCCTGTACTTTAGTTTTTACGCTGATAAGTAAAGGTTATGGTTTTCTTACTTCTTACCGGGATTGGGAAGTAACTCGTTACTTGTAACGAAGTTAGTTACTTTTTTTTTAAACTCTAACTTAACTTCGTTACTTTCCCTCCATCTGTAACTTAACTCAATTGCACTTTACAATTCGAATGCATGCAATTCGAAATTTGATATTTTTATTTTCATTGCAAAGTAACGATTCGTAAACGTAACGGTTACTGTTTTAGTAACCGCAACTGTAACGCGTTACTTTTCAGAATCGGTAACTTGTAACTGTAACTAGTTACATTTTTAGCAAGGGGTTGGTCACTGAGGTAATCTTTGTACAAGGGCTGGGTAATTCAGCGGCAGTTCAAACGAAATCTTTGGTAATTTAATATATTTGGGGTAATTTTAAATATTCTAAGGTAATCTTCAGTAATATGAGATAGTATTGGATTATCTGGAGTAATTTAAGGGTAATCCGTATCAGGAGTAATTTTTGTACACTATAACCGCTGGTGACTAATCCGTCGATTTTTAGCGAAAGAACTGTAACTGTAACTAGATACTTTTATAAAGTAACTTTCCCAATCCTGCTTCTTACTGCTTACTTCCAATGTAGACGGTCCTTAGTACGATACGCGGGGCTGCGCGGGCCGCCAACCGACCCGTTCGACTATCGCCGCGTGAATGATAGGCACAGTGAGACCAGACTGTTTTCGACCGAAGTGTTTACGGCGCTACGTCATTTCTCGGAACGGGCGTTCGACGCCCAAAATTCCGAGAACTTCCGCGGTTGATAAGCCACAATGATCGACGAAATTGTTAACAAAACCAAAGCCGAAAGCTCCGAAACGATGGGCCGAAAATAATTCGAGGCGTAATATGGTATCTATTGACAAGTTCGGCGGTTGCATTGATAAATGATTTCTATCGAAGTTATGATGTACCGCGGCCCTTGTAAGTTTTAATAAGCGCGCGCTCGTTTTACATTTCTCCAGGCAACGATTGAAAATAACGCAATTTCCGCCGCGTTGTGCTGGGCCGCGTGATGCGCCAATCACGTCCATCTGTACGCATTCGACGGAAGAAAAACAAATTGTCGGAAATTTTATCGCGTCAATCTAAAGTGCGACGAAGTACGGTCGCATATTAAATCACGTAGCGCGTTGGTAATAATTGCGCGTCAACGTGACGGGCAAATAAACCAGGCGTCAGGAAAGACGTCGGAAAAGACACGTAAAAATAGCGGACGCGGTGCATCGGGCTCTCCCTGCGCGCGGTTCTCCTTAACAAGGTGCATGCTTTTCTCCCAAAAGGCCGCTCGTGAAAGAAGCGGCAGTAGCGATAGATAAGAGAAGACCACCGATGAGAAGTCTTCTACTCTGTCTTTCGATATACAGCACGGGGAAGCGAAGAGACAGGAAGAATAAAGATAGACTGGAAATGTGCGGAAGTGCGAGACGATAAGAGAAAGAAAGGAAAGATAGAAGCGGAATACACATGATCTATTGCTATTCTAACATCTAGACAGCGGTAGTTATCCGGCGACAGAGACACTATACGAAATTATCATTTGTTTTAATATTATGTCATGTTTAAAAAAATGTTTTCTTATAAAAAAAATTTTTTTATAATACCGTAGAATATTTTAATAAAGGATTGAGTTATACTTCGGACTCTCTCTGTTTCTCTCTACTTTTCCCTTTGGTCAGAATTAACTCATAGTCTTCCGCATTATTTTATTGTCTCGGTAATGCTGAATTAATTAGTGCTCTTTATTTAAAGTACAATAGAGAGACGTAGCTTTCGGCGCAGCGGCAACGGGCCGGTGGTACAGATGCGCGCACATGTCCGGCTTTCATAGAGCTAAATCTTGTCTAGAGAAACCCACGATGCCATTGTATGCATCACTCGATACGTACATGTGTGCATGCGTGTTCGAACCAACCTCTAGTTAGCACTGGAATCTATTTTAAGAAACCTCCCCGCCGGGCAATGCGGTCGACCGCGGCAAAAAGCATTCGAGTCGAGATGTATGCGCCTCTCGAAAATACAAGACCGTCGGTGGAAAAAAAAAAGAGTGTCAAGGTTCGCTTTCGATTACTATAGCTTTTCTCAATTTGCCAAATGGCGAGCCGAGGGAACGACCTGACCCTACTGTTTTTGACGAGGCTGTGCCGCCGACGCGGATATATTGGCTTCGGATGAGCGGGGTGTAATGGGCCCTGTGATGCCAGCTCTTCCTAATTTTTATTAATGTACCATATTTTACGATATTTGGACGGAGAAACTGCTCTCATTCAACTTTTTAATTCAATTCCGTCACTTCGGAATTTTCTTCGCGAAATTAAGTTGACAATGCCGATGGATTACATTTAATTTGTTGACAAGGAGAAAAGGTACTTGATATTTCTCATGAAACTTCTGCGCGGTACGCTAGGCGAAAAATATTTCTATTAAATTCTAGCAAATAAATGACTAATAAAACAATGAATGTTC